GGGGGGGGGGGGGGGCAGTTTGCCTTGGGCTCAAAAGGGGCCCCCAAAGCAATGAAAGGCTTGATAGAAGATTGCTTAACTGAGAATATAAATCTAGCTGCGTTAGAGCCAGTTAATATGCAATAAAGTGTAATATTTTGTGAAACACACCCCTTCTTCCATTCTACAATTATGACATTATAGGGGCCCCTGGGAAAGTTTTACGTCATAATAGGCTTACTTCTGTTATAGTTGAGAAACTCTTCTGAGAAGATGGGAATATTAAAACTAGTTTCTCCAATGAGGGCATTAAATTTGTTTTGTTGCTTTAAATCTGTTTGTCGTCCAGCTTGTTTTGCAGTCTCATTTGATTTGTCTCTGCCATTTGTATCTGTTTTATGCAAGCTTTCTGTGCTCTTTTGGTTGCCTGAATTTTCTCGCTCACGTTCGGCTGTGAAGTGAATAAAAGTAGAATAGTAAATAGTAAAGCATTCTTACTGGACACACATGTAGGTACATATAATCTCTAATAGTCTCTGACTGTATTAACTGGACACAGGTAAATATAATCTCTAATGGTGTGCGGCAGTGTGGGTAAGAATGATAATGCAGATGAGGACTTTTTGACAAAGGGCTGATCATCTCATTCACCTACTGGGCGCTAGTGCTCTCCCCTTGACCAGTAAACTCATCTCGCAAAGTAAAATAATCAAAGTAAAATAAAGTAAAATAATCAAAGTAAAATAATCAAAGTAAAAAAAAGTGAAATAATCAAAGTAAAATAATCTGGTGCTAGAATAAAATACTAAAGACAATGCAACTTAATGGGTTAAAGATAAGACATCACTGTCTATTGTGGTTGGTATTTATCCAAATGCTGCTTCAAACAAACTAACCTTTTTCTTGCTTGGCTACAAAGGATTTATAAGCATCAGTTTGTTGATATTCTACTAATTCTTTACTGTATCTCTCCTTGTCTTTTTCAGCTTCATTCAGGTAAGACTAAAATTTGCATATAATTAGAATGACTTAATTAGAATGACTTAATTAGGATGATTTAATTAGAATTTCATTGAACTGGAATGTGGCAAAGATTTTCATCCATAATCTTGATAAAAGATCTGCACACCTGTTTTTGTTCTTGAGGCATTTGGCTCCACATTGTTCCAAGAATTTTAGTTATTTCATAGAAAGGCAACTCAGGTTTCTCCTGACGGACTTTCTCCCGGTGTTCATTTAAAAAGCGGACATACCCAGTCAGAGGTGCCTTGGGGGCGTTAGAGTCCTTCAAAGATTTCTTGCGTTTCTTCCCTCTTGACGACCTACTGGAAGGCTCCTGCTAACAATATGAAGATTTATGTCATTTTCTGGTTGTTCTGCTAAAACTCCAACACTTTATTTTGTAATGAACTTGAGTAATTTGATTACAATAGAATTGCATTGCATATAATATACTAAGCTTGGAATAAATGACAGCAGATTATAATATCCATACCTTCAAATATACAGTTTCTTGCTTGTCCAGAGGGGGACTATTGTTACTGCTGCGCAGAGAAATTTTATCAGGTAAATGGCAGTCTGGCATCTCAATACCATCATTACTGGAAATTGACCTGAAGACAGTCAACAAGACAGTTGTAAAACAATGTGGTTTATATGTCATTCATTAGATGGATGTGTTAACGAGGTGGTCATATTAACGAGGTGCTTTATTAATGTAGT